TTTTTTGTTGAAATTGATTGACTTCTCAGACGGAACTGAGAGATGAGTAAGCGTGGCCGTTCTTCTTGACCAGGCCTTTTGACGCCAATTATTAATTGGTGTATGTTAATTCATACACGAATTAATAATTGTGTGGGGGTGGGGGACTGTGGTGCACTGCTAAGTGCCCATGCGTTTTTTTGGGGAAGGGGAACAGTCTTAGGTGGGATTTTTAGGCGCGTGGGTAATGTGGGTGAGAGGGAATCGGGAAGAGGGGTGCGTTGCGTAACGCACTTGTTAGCGCGAGAGGAGGTTGACGGAGGATTTCGGGCGGTGAGGTAAGGAGGGATCACTTGGAAACAGTCATATGACTATTTTCAAGTGTAATGCAATGCCAAGGGTGATAAGGCCCCTTGGTAACGCATTCCTTTGCATTGTTTAATATGAGAATGTTCATTCAACATTCTCATTTTTGAACTTCCACTTTTTTTATTTTTGTAAAACAAGTATTGGAGAATTTTAATTAATTTCTATATTATTATTATTATTATTTTTTTTTATAAAAAGGAATTATTTGGATTTTTCTTATTATTGTTAAATCTCATTGGAAATTTTATTTTTCAATGGGATTTAACAATAATTTTGTACGTCTTGACGTAACACCCCCATGATTAAATGATTGTTAAGAGTGGAAGACTCTTAATAATCATTTCACAAAGAAGAATTTGTTATTCCTTACTAGGGTTATTCAAGGTAATGATTCTAGTTTTCATCCTTATATATATTTTCTCTAACCGTGGTTGACAAAATTAATTATAAGTGGAATTTTATTCCTGTTTGGAATTTGTATATATATATATATAATCTATTTTTAATACTAGATCTTAAATTTCTATTTTAATAACTTATTTTATTTGTTTATAATTAGTTTACGTGTAGTAATATTTGTTATAGTCATAATTATACATACATGTATAAATATACAGGGTGTCCCAGAAGTACGTGCCGATAATTAACCGGCATGTACAGGGGGTGAGTCTGATCCAAAAAGTCCTTTACCACTTTTGGATCGGAAGCACCTCTCCGGAGATACTGGGGTAAACAGGACAGCCAATGACGCTGCCGCGTTAAGCGGCAGTACGCCGGTGTGGCTGTCGCGCTCGAGTGTGAGTGATTCCCCTTCGAGCCAGAACGAGGCGGAATCACGTTCCACATTCACCCGTGAGCGTGAGAGAGAAGTCATGGTATTCTCTCTCACTCTCTCGCATCACTCCGCGGCAATGTTCTTGCGGTTATCTTTTAAACAATTGGGTTTTTGGGATTTTTCCATTGATTATTATTTGTTGCAAATTGAATTTGCAACAAAATAATCTCATGGAAAAATCACCTAAGCCCGATTGTTTATTTTATATCAGCAACAAACAGTTTCATCCTTTTTAAATGTTATAAAAAAACGATGGGCTGTACGGCATTCTTCCATCAGTTATTTTTTGTTGCAAATTCAATTTGCAACAAATAATAATCAATGGAAAAATCCCAAAAACCCAATTGTTTAAAAGATAACAGGAAAAACAGTCGCTCCACTA